AAAAAAAAAAAAAATAAATAAAAATAACACACTCAAAAAGTGATACAAACTCAAAAAGTGACAAATTCAAAAAAAGTGATACATACTAAAAAAGTGACACATACCAAAAAAGTGACTCAATGTCCCTTTATAAAATTGACGAGCAATGTTACTTTTAAAAAAGTGATACAATGTTACTTTTATTAAAAAAATGATGTTTTTCACTCAAAAAGTGACAAAAATATCAAAAAAGTGAAACACTTTAAAAAGTGATAGAATTAAAAAAAAAAGACAAATATTCAAAAAAGTGACAGAAATTAAAAACAGTGACAAACATTCAAAAATGTAGCAAAACAATAATCAAAACCTTAGAATTAGTTCAATAAAATGACAAAACTCATAAAAGTGACAATACGAAAAAAGTGACAAAACACAAATAAAAAATTTGGAATTAATTCAATAAAGTAAGACAAATTAAAAAAGTGATAAAAACTCAAAAAAATGACAAAAACCAAAACGAACTCAATCAAGCTACCAAAAATGATGTCTTTGGAGCAAATCTTCATTTATCACTATGAATTCATTGATTACTTCATATTACCTTTGTAATCTCAAACAAGAAGCAAAATCAAACAAGAAATGCAGAGTAATTTTATTAATTCAATAACTTCACTATGAAGAAATATATGAATAAAGGATGGGTAATCCCCAGCCCAATAACTATCCCTGAACTATAGTATGAGGGGAGAAAGTAGTTTCAGAGGCAGCACTTTGAGTTGCATACGTCCCATTAGCAAGGATAGCTGGCCTTTTAGATGAAACAATAATGGAGTTTGCCTGCTGGGATTTCTTTGTAGAGCCAGTAACCTCCGCTTCTTCTGAAATTGAAAAAAAGGTAGGTCTCCAAGGCACTGCTTTATGGTTGCAATCCACTCTCAACTTCTAATAGAGATAGGCAATACTCTCTTATGATCCAAAGAGCTCATGAACAAACTCTAGCTGCTTGGATCTGATAAAAAGTATCCAAAAGCCTGGTGACGAAGAGCTGAGGTAGAGTTTCACCATTCAGCAAAAGCATAATTGCGTTTTTCATGGCATCAATTTTAGCAGGAACATCGTTCCCTTCAAATGCCTTCTTGATCTCATTGGCAAGTGCCAGTGTGCCCTTGTTAAAGTGTACCAGCAAAGAGCATGATTTCTCCATTTCGCATTCGTTATCTAGAAACGTCAAAATTTTCGCCACATTATCAACACATTACAGCAAAATTTCCGAAAATAAAATATTGCATGGGAGAAGATTGATCGAAACATAATGATGCTCAACCTAGTTACTTCCTCCCCTAATAATAATTTCCCATCACATGTAATACAAGTTATACAACCGCTAATCTATAGAAATTGAAGAAATAAAATGTTGGGACCTTGAAAAATTGAACTTATCATTCAAATAGTAGATCCGTGCCAATAAACATAATCCACAACCCACCCAAAACAACACGAAAGAGTGGCGAATGATTACATTGTCCAATTCAAGAGACACCAAATGAAAGTGGGTTATCTAAATATTTGTCGAAAGTTTGTTGGGTTTGATGCTTACATTACATACATGGAATTAAGCCATGAAATTTCAGATCCAGAATAAAACTTATGACATTGAGATGAAAGGAAATTAAAAGAAAAAGGGTAAATTTACCAAAAAAATTCGTCGAGATGATGGTTGAATTTGATTTGCCTGCCTAATTTTCCTCAACCACTGTTTGTTGTATGTGCTCGGTATGATCAGTGCTAGTGTTTGGACCTCTGGGAGATCTGGATCTTCCTGGTTTCCATATATATTCCCGTTTTGAAGTGATGATGAGTGGGTTTCAATAGGGGTTTGGGGCTTTTAGGACGTATTAATTGCGTGGTTAGATGATAAATTATTAATTAAACGTATTATTCGATTTCACTGATTTTAGGCCGTACTGGGCCTAATTTCCTCATTATTGACTATCACCAGTCGATTCCCAATTCTAAGAGGCTTCTTCATCAACTTTAATATCCCTACTAGAGATTATCTTCTTGGTATGAGGATTTTAAACTCTATAGCCTTTTGCATTGCTGCAGTAGCCTACTAGAACCCCAACCTCAGCTTTTTGACTAAGCTTGTCTCTTTTTTCTTCAGGTACATGTGTATGGCAAAGACTCCCAAACACTTCCAAATTAGAGACATTTGGTTTAGTTCCATACCAAGCTTCCAATGGAGTCTTTTTATCCAATGATTTTGTAGGCAATTTGTTAAGTAGATACACAGATGTATTCACTGCTTCTGCCCAGAACTCCCTTGGAACTTTCTTCTCAATCATTAAGCATCTAGCCATCTCCATAACTGTTCTATTCTTTCTTTCACATACTCCATTTTGTTGTAGAGAATAAGGAACAGTTAGTTGATGTTTTATCCCAATTTCTTTACAAAATTTATCAAAACTAAGCTGCAGCAATACTCCTTTCCATTATCAGACCTGATGGCTTTAATTTTGCTATCACATTCATTTTTCACCAAGCTTTTGAATCTCTGAAATACACTTGACACTTCTGATTTCATTTTCAAGAAGTATATTTTTTCACCAAGCTTTTGAATCTCTGAAATAGACTTGACACTTCTTATTTCATTTTAAAGAAGTATACCCATCACATCCTAGACATATAATAAATGAAGAGAAAAAAACATTCACTTCCATTCAAAGTTGATGTCCTCATTGGTCCACAGACATCTGAGTGAATCAGCTCAAGTCTTTTTAAAGCCCTTTTTGCTTGATTTTTGGGAAAAGGCAATCTAGTATGTTTCTTGAGTTGGCATACAACTATCATGGTTGATTTCAGGAACATTGTCAACCAATCTTAGATCATGCATTTGCTTAAGTGAAGTGTAGTTAGCACAACCAAACCTTTTATGTCATAAAACAGAATCAATGACAGTTCCAGCAAGTGCCTTATCTTCTACATTTTTCCATTCTAGTGGGAAACTCCTATTCCTCATCCCAATAGTCATTACTTCTTGATTTTTAGGATCAAGTATAGTACATTCCTTGTCTTTAAATACCAAAGTATAATCTTATCAATTGACCAACACTTATCAAGTCTTGATCAATGTTTGGAACATATAAAACATCAGATATATACCTGGTACATGCAGAAGTTTGCACAGAGATTTCACCAACACCCTTGACTTCAACAAACTCTCCATTCTCCACTTTAACTCTTGATCTATATGCATTATTCAACTCAACAAATATGTTAGGACTGGAGGTCATATGATGTGTGCAGCCACTGTCCAATAACCAAGCTTCATCATTGTTGTAGACCATCAAGTTTAAAGCTGTGAACAGGTGATCCTCCTGCTGGTGATTCTCTGCAACTTTGGCTTGCTGAGATTCCTGCGCTTGTTTCTGATTCTTGCAGACTTTTTCTATATGGCCAAATTGCTTACAGGCCTTACATTGCACACCTGGCCTGAACCAGCGCCATTTTGGTGCATGTCCTATCCTCTTGCAATGTGGACAAGGTAGATATTTTCCTCATTTAGCAACTTCTTTCTTGTTCTCAGGTTCCTTCTTCTCATTTGCTGGTTTCTTAACTGCATAGCTCGTTTGAGCATTATGCTTTCCCTTTCCAAATAAAGCACCTTCAACTTGCTCATCTTGCCTTAATGATCTCCTTTGCTCTGTGGCTTGAAGAGCATTTATCAGTTCAGATAAGGATATGCTAGCCAAGTCTCTTGAATCTTCAAGCGACGAAATCTTGGATTCAAACTTCTCTGGCAAACTAATTAACACCTTCTCCACCACTCTATTGTCTGGCAAATCATCTCCAAACAATCCAATCTGATTCACCACTTTTAACAGCCTGTCGCATAGTCTTTTACTACCTCCATTTCCTTTATTTTCAAGCACTCAAACTCCCTTCTCAAGTTGAGCACTTGCATCGGTCTAGTTTTCTCACTCCCTTGGAATTCCTCCTTGAGTCTATACCAAGCTTCTTTTGCTGTTTCACAAGTCATTATCCTTGTGAAAATAGCATTAGCAATTTGATCTGGTTTACCACTTTCATTAACCTGTCAAAAAGGTCTTTTACCATCTTTGTTTCCCTCATTTTCAAGGTCTCAAACTCCATTATCAAGTTGAGCACTTGCATCTGTCTAGTTCTCTCACTTCCTTGGAATTCCTCCTTGAGTCTATTCCAAGCTTCTTTTTCCGTTTCACTAGTTATTATTCTTGTGAAAATAGCATCTGTAACAGAGGACTGAATGCAAGAGAGAGCCTTGAATTTCTTGGCAACAACTTCACTATGTTGTTTGATTTGAGCAACTGTTGGGTTAGCTCTCAAAGATGGAGGTTCAATGCTTGATTCAGTTATCTCCCAAAGGTCATAAGCCTTGAGATAGGACTTCATCTTTGCTACCTAAAAATTATAATTTTCTCCATTGAAGGCTAAGGGAAGAGGTGCTGTAAATCCACTGGAAACCATATCACTTACTCACTCGTTTGACTAGTAAAGATTCCTTGCTTGTTTTCTCTCAAATTTTTTGGTTGTTAAAAGGGTGAAGGAGGGAGAAACAAGAAGCTGAACTCACCGGATTCGCAACCTGCTTACCGGTTTTGCACAGATTTACTCTATTTTTTTCTTCTGTTTTTTTTTCACTGATTTTTCAGCGATTCCCACCCTTTCTAAGATCAATTTCTTCAGCTCTGATACCACTGTAGTAATATGAGATCAAAGGGATTGGAAGAGAGATACTTTTTATTCAAAATTATATTGAATGTAAACAACACCTCCATATATAGAGCCATACTCTATTACATCACAAAAGAGACTAGCCATCACTATTCTACCTACTACAACTTGACACAATAGATGGCAGATATGTGACTTGCACGGCCATGCTTTTCTTAGCTTATAAAATGTAACTTAAGCTAGGATTAATTACATCAAAAAACATAGGACTAATGACAACAAAAGTATCAATGCCAATAATCTAATACTCTCTTCACCTCTCTCGGCCGCAAGTTGCACATGAATGATAGCCTCTAAGGCGGTCTGATCTCTCTCTTCACCTCTCTCAGTTGCAAGTTGCATACCAATGGCAACCTCAAAGGTAGATTTTGATTTTACCTTTGGTGAGGTTGTTGTGGAGTTTGGGATTCGGGAACTTGTGCATACTTTAGTGTTAAGAGTTGTGCAAGGGATGAATGCCCGTGGTAATGATCGCAGAACCACCGCTGGCTTTGGAAGTCTAAAGGTGGATATGGAGAGGACGAAGGTAGTTGCTGTAGAGAGAAAGTAGATAGAGAAATGGTATATAAATTTTAAAATAATAATTAAATATTGTATCTGATTTTTTAAATTGAAACACCTGCTTTTCGAAATTGAAACTTAAAATGCAAGGGTTGAGGCAATTTTCTCTAAAAAATAGTCGCAGTCAAATGCATTTAAGGTTGCTTGAGAGTTTTTTTTACTAGTCGAGTGAAACAAGTATATAAATACCAGTGTTCTAAAATGGGTAATGCGTTGCGATGCGTCGAGGCCGAGAATCAAGAATTACAAGTTTATGCGTGTCAATGCGAAGAATAAGCGTCATAATGCGTTTCGTATTTTTAAGGTATTAAATATATTTTTATATAAAAAAAATAGATTTTTTAATATATCATAAAAAAAAAAAAAATTTAGAAAAAGGGATTAGGCGGGATAATGCATGCCTAGGCGCCCATTTTGCGCGCATTAGGCGCTCCTAGGCGCGCCTTTTAGATGGAAAACGCATTTTTCGCGCATTTTTCGAATTCGACGCCTTTTCGGTCCGCATCGCGCTTAGGCGGCGCATTTTGGCGCTTTTTAGAACATGGATAAATACATTAAAAAGTAGGAATTTTTTGAAAAGTCATTAAATAAAGGGATTTACAATGTAACTAGTGTTAAAATGATTAAAAATCGTAACATATTAGTAATGATATCATCCCCTAGTACAATTTTATTCTCCGATCATAATTAGCAGTTCATTTTTCAGGTAAATTACCATTTCAATCTACTTTGCCAACAATTGCTGCATTTTCATTACGAATTTTAGATTTTTGCTTGTGTTAGTATATATGAAAAATTAACTTTGGATCCGTGGTCGTCAATTAAGTCTTGTGACTATGGTGGTCTAATATTTCGGTCACTACAAGTTGT